ATTGGTAGGATGATCACCTTTACAAAATCCACTAGAAGCGACTTGTTGTTGCTTGTTAGGAATCTCTTATATCTCCTTTATTTGTTGTGGAAGCTTCAAAATTTGTTGCTTTACCTCATATAATTTGTTTTGAGCAAGAATGGCATCATTAGTGCCCAATTCAATCATTTTCGGTTTTCCCTGTGTCGTACCTTAGTTGTGCTGGCCTTGATGATCATTGAGTGCCATTCTATCAATAATTTCTATTGCTTATTCCATACTCTTCGACATTGAAGAACCACCCGACGTAGCATCCAATAGAGTTTTGGGTTAAGGTTGAAGTGTCCATGACGAAAGATATGGATTTGAGTAAGCTCATCAAAACCATGACCTTAACATTGACTTGAACCGCTCCCAAGCTTCATTAAGGGATTATTTGCACCTTAAGGGAAAATCACAATTGCCATCTTTGCTTCCATGAACCTATTGTGAGGAAAGAATCTCTCAAGAAAATTTTCTCCCAACATATTCCAATCGGTCATCATTTGAGTTGGTTGATCAAGATACCATTCTTTTGCTTTTCCTATCAAAAAATGTGGAAATAGTCTATTGAACAATTGTTCTTCTTCCGCTTCTGGAGCTCCCGTTGCGCTAACAGTCTCATAAAGCTTGGTAAGATGTATGTACGGATCTTTATGATCAAGCCCTGTGAAGGGATTTGCATACATAAGTTGAAGTATTACAGTTTTCATCTCCGAGTATCTTTCATTATTTACATTTCTCGCAAACTGAGCATTCCTCCTTGGACTATTTGTACATGGTTCCCTTGCGGGAGGTGGAGGTGGATCTGCCATTATTGGTGTTGAAATGAGAGTTGTTGGTGGATTACTAGTATAAGTTCCTTCGTGTTCTCTTCTTTCGTTAGCTATTTGTCTTCTTCGTCTGATATTACTATTAAGTTTACGCATAGTTCTGTCAATCTCAAGATAAAAAAGAAGTTGATTTATGGGTATACTTCCTCACATAACAAATATATGAAAAGCTAACCAAGTAAATAAAAAAATACAAGGAATATGAACTAAGATAAGAAATAACAATACAAAATTTAAAACAAGATAAACTATTGCAATGCTTGCAATATCAATCAACAATCTCCGGCAACGGTGCTAATTTGTTGAATGTATATTAGGTGGGCAATAATTTTATCTTTTCTACAGGGATTATCGTGCTATCGCCGCTGTTCTATAGTTTATATGGTCATAAGTGAGTGTTTTAGAATGGTTTTGTTTGGTATCATAAATTTCACAAGAGTTTTGTAGCAAATAGTAAAGTTTGAAAAGATGTTTGTTTTAACAGACATATTAATAATAGATTTTATCAACCTACTTTGTATGTATTTAATTAATCAAGCATGTGAACTTTGTTATGATCAAAATAATCACGTATCTTCTCAATATCATTTATCTCTAAAGCGATATCATGAATATTATCGTACTAATTACTAAATGACGTCTCATGCTAACAATCAACACAATAATCTTAGAGCTTGATACAAAGTGGATATCAACTCACAAATCTATATATAGATCTTGTTCATTGATAGATGAAAAACTTGGGTCAAGGTTTGAAAAATACATTTCACTAGTGATTCAAATCAAATATATAACATTAAAAGCAAAGATATTCATCATACATTGATCATCAACTTTGTTCGCATACACAATATCAAAAGAAATACATACACATTAAATAAGATTACATTTACCCTTGATACAAAGGATTTAGCTTCCAAAAATCATGGTACCTTGCTTCACAAGTAATGGAAAGAGATGAATGTGCATCCAAGTTTAAGAATCGACAATGGATGTGAATCCAACTTCGATTTTATGAAGATCACCTCTTAGATGAAAAGATGAAGTTCTTACGGTTTTTGGTGTCTTAGGAAATGTTAAGAAAACATATTATTATCCAAAAAGGCCATAAAAGTACATAAATATCTTTCCAAATCTGCGCATGCTCGCCTAGCGAGCTCTACCTCGCACAACGAGGTCAACCTTTTGGCATTTCAAGTGCCTTAGAAAACTTAAACCGTCCTTAAGAAAATATATTAGCTTGCCTGGTGAGTTATAGCTTGCACTACGGGCACTGTTCGCTCATACTCGCACAGCGACCATGAAGCCAAAAACATTTTGCCTATGTAGTAAACTGTCTTGCTTTCCCTTAGGTCGCTGTAGAGCTCACACAACGAGCTAACTGAAACATGCCTTGTTTGCTTTGGCTTTCTTTTCATTCTTTTGTGTATCTTTCTTTGATTTTTATGCCTAAGTCCTGCACATTAGCACACAAATAAGGAAATCCAAAGGCTCCTACAATTATAATGGCCATTTACATAATATTATGGAATTAAACATCTAAAACACAAAATTAGAGTAGTAAAATGCCAAAAAAAAATAGTGAATTTAAAGTCATATTTGACATTCAACAATTCTCAATTGTAGTCTATAGTGGCAAGGCAAAATGATATGGGGTCAGATATTAAAGCCATCCTGGAGGTTCTGAAAAAACTCTTGGCTTTAAGACTCAACACCTTATGTTATTTTTGAATTTTTGACTTATTTTGAAATATTTTGCAATTTGACAATTATTTTCTTTGGTTTAATAATATTTTTATTCAATATCTTTTCTTATTTCCTTCATTTTTGTTGATGACAAAAGGGGGAGTAAGACAAATAAGTATTTTAGAGCCTGAATATGATAATTAAGAACTTACAAACCTCAGGCTCTGAAGTCAACTTGTTAATAAAATTAACAGCCATTGTTCTTAAATACTTATGTTTGTCATCATAAAAAACGGGGAGATTGTTGGAATACATTTGGTTTGTACCATATCTCTAAGATTTTGAGGACAACAAAGTATTTAAGGAATAGTTGAGTATACTAATAATTGTTCAAGTGTGCAGGACCATAAACTAAAATTCCTAATATAAACATAGTACTAGTACTGAAAATGAACATGTAATGAGAAGCTAAAAGATCCATAATCTGAAGGATTAGAACCTGATAACTAAACTCTGAAGACTCAGACTCTGAAGGAGGTCAACTTTTAAAGACCAGACTCTAAAAAAAGTCAACATCTAAAGACTAAGACTCTAAAGGTCTTAGACTCTGGTCAGTCAACGTAAGGATCAAGAAGACCATTATAGGTCACTATCAGACTCATAAAGTAATATGCCTTCTTCTGATCACGTGCAAATCCAAACAAAAATATGCACAAAGAATTGATATGTAACATATAATTTCTCTTGAAGCAAAGGAAATTCAAATGTCTTTTCAACAATGTTAACCATATTGAGTAACATTCCAACCTCTATGATCAAGGTTCTATAATACTCACTAGTGCTAGCTATTCTCTTCAATGCCTTCTTTCTGTCTCTCTATATAAGGAACTGAAGACTTAAAGAAAGATAACCAATTCTTGCAATCAAAAGAGTTGTTACCATGTCAAACCAAAAGCTTAAGTTTAACTTAGAATTTCTTATCATCTGTATATCTTAGGAATTCATAAGTCTTAAGAGTCTTTTTAAGTTGTATTTTGTTTACACCTCTGCTTATATATCGGGTGTAATATTCAAACAATATTTTAAGTTAAATTGTTATAAGTTTATTGCTTGAGCATCTAAAGTCTCCTGTTTGCGTGCTTGAGCATTAGAAGTCTCTTGCTTGTGTGCTTGAGCATTAAAAGTCTCTTGTGTGTTTGAGTATTAGAAGTTTCTTACTTACATGCTTGAACATTTGTAATCATTTGTGATTATAGTAAAATTTCTTGGAAGTGCAAGGAGATTGAATTACTCTCGTTTCGTGGGAGGAACCAGGATAAACTTGCTTATGTCTCTCTTTCTTTCACTCTCTACCTTTAAACTTGTTTTTATCCGTTGCAAATACTTGACTCTATATCAGAATCTAAACTTTGAGTTCATAATCTGATATGAGATTTTTAAAAAAGAAAGAAAAAACTAATACAATTCAACCTCCATTCTTATATTTTTCTCACCTTCAAACATGCCTAACCACATGTCCTCAAAAGGGATGATATTTCCCACTCTTCTAAGAAAAAAAATAGTTTCTTCCTATTAATGTGAGAATTGATATTCTATCTTTTATTAGTTATGAGAACTAGTCTTCCTATCCTAACACTATAGTCAAACATTTGGGAGGAAATCAATTCTCCACCCATCATCAACTTGAATTTCATGGATTCATAGTGCACAACCTTCCTGTCTTCTACTCCATCAATTCCTTTTTAAATGTCATTTTTTGACTTTATTCACACACTAACACAATTAATAAGTATTGTTACTTTTTAAATAATAATATTTTTTGCCTATAATATCCTTAATATTTTAATAATTTATTTATTTATTTTTAAAGAAATTATTAAAGATAATTTTGACAAAACTACAACCAATACTACTTTAAAGTTTGCAATGACACTTAAAAATAAACCAATTTTTCATAAGAAATGACAATTAAAAGTGAATAAAGATAGTATCACATAAGAGAGTTCATCATCTTCATTATATTTTCACAATTGCATATTAAAATATTAAAAAAAAATCACTTAAATTTAAACTTATTTTAAGTCTCTGTTCATAAATTTTTTCAATATGTATTTCTAAAAATTATATGATTTTAATTATGTTAAAATAATAATAAATATTTAAATTATTGAATGTCAAAATTATTTGTTTAACTTATAAAAAATAATTTTAGAAAGAATTTTTAATATTTTAGTTTATAACAAATGGCCCCAAATGCCCATGGATAGTTAAATCAAAACACTCTAAGCATTGACACGTTTGTAAGGCACGTGGGATTGTAGTAGATGTAGGTCAAGTTCTGAATCTAATCCAATACAGAACCTCCGTGCGTGCCACAAACGTTCGCTGTTATTCCGTACTGGCTTCATATTCAAGCACAAAAACCTACAAACCCTAACCCTAACCCTAATTCTCTTCCCAATCATGGTCACCGATGGCTACGACTCTCGACGCAAGCATCACCGATCATCCTCTCCGGACGACCACGACAAATCCTCAAAGCGTCATAAGCACCGCCACCATCATAGCCACCGCCATCGCCATGGAAGCAAAAAGCGCGATGAGGAGATTCAAATTCAATACGATGCAGAAATTGTTGCCGCGGTTCCTTCTCCAAGTCCTGTTTCCGATCCGGCTCCGGCTCCACGTAATCATCTCCCTGACGATGACGTCGAGGAGGGAGAGATTCTTGACGACGAGCCTTTGGGCGGCGAGGTTGGAAAGAAGCAGATTGAATCTGATGTTGAATCTGGGGAAATTGAGGTGAAAGGAGATCGAGATCTCCGATCTGAGAAGAAAATTCCGGTATGATATGATCGAATAGAATTGTTTATGAACGTATTTTGTTCAATTTCAATCTTGTGTATTGCTACACGTGACATCTGTTTGGTTGCTGAGAAAGCCAAGGCCATTGAAATAGAATTCGAAGAAGTTTTTTTGTTATTGTCAATTGTTTTGTTTTGGTTGTGAAAATTTTATTTATCTCAGCAGTATTAACGGTTTCATCTCGGGGACCAAACAGAGCACTGTGATTTTTTGTTTTGGGATTGTATAATGAGTTTTTTTATTCGTGAGAGCTTGGTAGAGTACCCTGTCAGTGTTTCATAGATATCTAAGAACCTGGTTGCACTGCATGACATATGTGAAAGAAGTCTCTCTAGGCGTTTCAGTGAAGACTGGTGGCTTACAGTTAATTTGTAAGAGCTGGTTATGTGTTTTATAAATTTATTTTTGCACATATGTAATGATTTAAATGCATTTTTTAAACCTTTTTTAAGCATCACTTTGAGTATTGGAATATTCAACACTCGAGCTCAATTAATTCTCTATGATGGGCAGGGACTTCTAGCTAAAAGTTTGAAAATTGAAAGTGAGGATTTCAACAGTGATAGATTTATTAGTCCTACTTCTGATGTAGAAGATGGAAAATGGCGTCGGAGGCACATTGAATCTCGAAGTTGTGAAGATGATGATTCTCCAAACCACTCAAGGGCTGGGAGAGATGTTCAAGCTGGTCATGATGCTTTGGGCAACGGGTATTTGGATGTTAAGTCTTCTAAAGGGGATAAGTGGCAGAATGGGGAGTTTGGACATTTTAAAGGGAATGAGATGCTAAAAGGTGACTATAATGATGAAGCACTGGAGGCTAATAGAAAGGAAGAAAATTCCCACAGGAATGCCTCTGAAAGTGGAGAAGAAAAACGTAGAATGCCAGGGAATTCTCCTTTGCATGATGGTTACAGAAGTCGATCAAAATCAATTGGCCATACAAGAGACAGGTCTCCTTCTCGCAGTGCTGTAGAAGAGTATGTCCATCCCAATAGCAGGCACTCTAGGGAAAAGGGTTCCCTTTATTATACTAGCAGACATAAGACTGACTATGACCTTGATGAGGAAAGAGTGAGTGCATACAGAAGGGAGCATCGTCACGGCAGTAAGGATTTGGTGGAGGGTGATAAACAGGAACACAGTACCAGGTATCACAGTCGGGAGACCCGGGATAGGGATAGAGCTACCTACAGAAGTAGGGACAGAGATGTGGATAGAGACTTGCACAGAGAAAAGAAGGGAGAGGAAACAAATAAGAATAAGGAAGTTGATTGGGTGCGTAGAAGGGAGAAAGAACGTGGAAGGAGCCACGATAGACATAGAAGGGACATTGAAAAAGAAAAAGATAGGAGCAGGGAAAGGGAAGAGGGTAGGGATAGGAGAAGAGAAAAGGAAAGAGATAGGAGCAGAGACACAGTTTATGAGAGGGATAGGAGAAGGGAAATAGAAAGAGATACGAGCAAGGACAGAACAAGGGGTGGTGAGAGAGATAGAGACTGGAAGAGTGAGTGGGATTATAGGAATCGGGAAAGGGATAACATTAAGGAGAGGGAAAGACGAGATGATAGATATCGACACAATGACAAAGATGCTCCTAATGGTAAGGATAAGCATATACGTCGCGAGGATGGCAATGACAGTGGAGATAGATATAAGAAACATTCAAGACATGAAGAGAATGGACACCACACAGATAGAAAGAGGAACTATACCATGGAAGAGGATGGAAGGAAACTAAAAGGGTATATTTCATTTTTTACTAATTTTTTTGTTTCTATCACGGATTTTTCTAGACATTTATCTTTAGTCTTCTTTTAATTCTTTCTGGAATATCATGCTTATTTTGATTTGATTTTGATGTATATTGATTGCTGCAGTGAGATTGAACAAGACGATGTAGACGAGGATACATTGCAACTACCTGAGCAAGAAGAGGAAGATCTGAACAGAATAAAAGAGGAGAGTAGAAGAAGAAGGGAAGCAATAATGGAAAAATACAAAAAGCAGAATCAGAAAATAGAACAAGCAGCTGGAAATGAAGGCAAAGGTATTATCATTCTCCTTTTCTTATAGGTTTGAGTGAGGCTGATATAGTTACAGGACATTTGATCATAACTTATATTTCATTAGTTTTTGCATTTATCGATGTCTGGTAATTGTCTTTATCTATAACCTGCTTGTCACCTTTTTAGTTTTTAGGCGATGACTCCATATTTCAGATCATGCATATTACTTTTCTTATAAAAAAACATGCTAAAGCATGTGCAATTTACAAAGTTTACACGAAAGGGCATGTGTGGCTTATAGCATTATTGACCCCATAGGTTACTCCTAAATTACGATCTCTGCTATTCAGTGTTATCAAATTGCGGCGCCATGGCCGATATACATGGCGGTTTTGGGGCTTGCCGCAATGGTAAATATCGTCCGATATTGCGGGTGTTTGGGCTTGCTGCAATGGTAAATATCGTCCCCTATTGCGGGTTTTTCTGCTATAATCCGCAATAACGGCGCCACAAAGAGGCTGATATGGCGGGATTTTGGCTATCTGCCATGGACCGCCATCGACAACATTGCTGCTATTAGAGTCATGTTATGCCTTTTGCTCTTAATGAAAGAGGTATTGCTTTTTCCGTTGACTTTCACATGTTAGATTGGGCGAGTTGATAATTTCTGTACTGCGAACCAATTTAACGAAGTTTACAAGAAGTGGGCATGTGTGGCTTATAGCATTACTGACCCCATAGCTTACTCCTAAATTACGATCTCTGCTATTAGAGTCATGTTATGCCTTCTGCTATTCTTAATGGAAGAAGTATTGCTTTTTCCAATGACTTTCACATGTTAGATTGAGCTAGTTGATAATTTCTGTACTGCGATTGATAGTATGTTTTGGTCCGTGCTTAAAAGTTGAAAAGTTCAGTGTGTTTATATATTTGAGTTTAATTACAGTTGAGTTAGAGAGGTTTAGCATTGCTATTTGAGTCTTTGTTGTTATCCATTCTTTTGTTAACTCATTTAAGTTATATTTTCAAAATTACACTGATATATTCATGACACTTAATTTTGCATATACACTTGGGTCTTTACCAGTCTTCTATTTTCTGCCCGTATTATCCTCATAGTATTTGAGACTTCCTCTAACGTTGTAATACACTATTATTAGGCAAGGACTTGGAGATTCATACTGACATTTTAAAAGCAGTTGATGGTAAGAGTGATGATGTTGATAATGTGGAACCATCATTTTCTGTTGGGAAATCTCCACCGGAAAATGTAAATGTCGGCTCAGAGAAGGTACCTGGTGCTGGGGGCCTCGGCGAGGGTACTCCTAAGGTTTGTCCTAAATTAGTTTTTTGTATGAAAGTGATATTACAAAAATTAGATGGAAGTTTCATTCATATTTCTATTGGATTTGAAGCTCATTCTTAATACTTGCAGAGTGAGAGGTCAGCTGACAAGTATTGTGATGATATATTTGGTGAGACACCAACTGGTGTTCGGAAATCGGTAAGTGTTTCATTAAACTATTCAAATTTTGTAGCAACTCATGATATCATTTCTGATTATGGATGGATCATCTTTACTGAATGATAATCTAGAAAATCCTATCTTGCATATCCTTTTCCCCCAGTTTACTTTTCTCTTTCTCTCCCTTCTCTGTAAACATGCTTTGGTATATATTTTACAGCATTTCTCCCCCAAGCTAACCAAGCTAAGTAGACTTTATTTTTGTAGATGACTTCCTAGTGGCTTTTCATCAAACATGTCTTAATTTACTGCAGTTGTTTTCTTCCATTATGCTGTTCATTTTTTTGGCATTATTTTATGCTTGTCTAGAGTTATTAAACCAATTGTGTAGTCTTGTTGATTTGGTGCTATACTTTCTTGTTATATTAAAACTTATTAAGTCCTTTTCAGGGAAAAGGAGATGGATTATTAATTGAGAGGGTTGGCCTGCATGACAACTGGGATGATGCAGAGGGCTATTACAGTAAGTAATTCATTTGATTATATCTAGCTGTCATGATCATTCTCTTTTGATTTTTGTGTTGTGGCTTGGCTGCAGAGCCTGGTTAGTTTTTGTGCCATGTGATGTGTTGGTCCGAACATAGTTTTCTAGGTAACTTCTTCAATATTTGGTTGTGGTAGTTAAATTTTTTAACACATTCTTTCAAATTTGATTTTCCGTAAAAACTTTTATGGTGAAAATTTGGTGATTTTGGAAGGAATAGGCTAGAAACATAACTGCTGATATTTAAATACCTTTAACAAGCATTTTAAGTTGTTACAAAAATGATGTTTTAAGCATCTTTTTCTGAGGCATTTCCTGTGGATCTGTCAAAATATTATGTTGAAAATCTTTGGGGAAATCATATTCTTGTTGAAATTGTTGGTCGGTTATTAGGTCTAATATCCTTGGCAAATCTTTTTTCCTGTTCGATTGATTTATGTGCTGATATTTCAATGCAGGTTATCGTTTTGGTGAAATACTTGATGGCCGATATGAAGTTACAGCTGCACACGGGAAGGGTGTCTTTTCAACAGTTGTTCGAGCTAAGAATCTAAAAACTGGTAATGGTGAGCCAGATGAAGTAGCAATAAAAATTATTCGTAATAATGACACCATGTGAGTGATTTTTTCACAGGGTATCCTTAATTAATCTTTTTTCATTTTTGGGTAGTAGTGTCTCTTATTCATTGTTATATTTCTGATGTGGAATAGGTACAAGGCTGGTTTGGATGAGTTGGTCATTTTAAAGAAATTAGTAGGTGCAGATCCGGATGATAAGCGTCACTGTGTTCGTTTCCTTTCAAGCTTTAAGTATAGAAATCATCTATGTTTAGTTTTTGAATCTCTAAATATGAATCTGCGTGAAGTTTTGAAGAAGTTTGGTCGCAATATTGGCCTTAGGCTAACTGCTGTGAGGGCATATGCAAAACAGCTTTTTATTGCACTGAAGCATCTCCGTAACTGTGGTGTTCTGCACTGTGATATAAAGCCTGACAATATGTTGGTATGCCTAAAATGCTGTTTTTTTTTTTAAATTGTTTCTTTTCATAGTTTTTTTCTCCCAAAAAGAAATATATTGTCTAACTTTTTATTTCAATTTCCTTTTCTGCAAGGTCAACGAGGCCAAAAATGTTTTAAAGCTTTGTGACTTTGGGAATGCCATGTTTGCTGGTAAAAATGAAGTTACACCATATCTCGTGAGTCGCTTTTATCGTGCCCCTGAAATAAGTAAGTACCGTTCACTACTTTTCATTGCATTACTCCCAACTGCTTTTTCGTAGCCACTTATGGTTACTAACCGGGCTTTTGAATGTTATTTTGCAGTTCTTGGATTGCAGTATGATCATCCATTGGATATTTGGTCTGTAGGCTGTTGTTTGTATGAACTGTATACAGGGAAGGTTCTTTTTCCAGGGCTCACAAACAATGACATGCTACGGCTTCACATGGAATTGAAGGGCCCTTTTCCAAAAAAGATGCTCCGAAAGGTAAACTTACTGTTTAATATATTGTTAATCATCACAGTTTGAGTCTTATGAATCTTTTTAATACTTGATATTCTTGACCAAGTTAAAAAACACTTGATGCTAGTCTGTTGCTATTTTAATTTCCAAACTAACCTTTTTACCTTCAATTCAAATTTTGGCATCAACAAATTTTTTTTGTTTGTATTTATAACAATTTATTTTTTGTTCTCTCTTTGCAGGGAGCATTTACTGAACAACATTATGACCAGGACCTGAGTTTTCATGCCACAGAGGAGGATCCTGTAACAAAAAAGGTGAGCTAGACTTATGATTGTGTTTTGAAGTATTATGTTAATAAGTAAATGGTTTTTTAGTCTGAATAACGTTTGTAATATTATTTCCTAGACCATAAAGCGGATGATTCTTAACATAAGGGCAAAAGATGTAGGAACGATCATCACTGGCTCTCCTGGGGAGGATCCAAAAATGTTGGCCAATTTTAAAGATCTTCTAGATAAGATTTTTGTCTTGGATCCGGACAAGAGATTAACAGTCTCACAAGCATTGAACCACCCATTTATCACTGGCAAGTGACCGATGTTGCAAAACTTGACTCTCGAAATGATATTTGTACATATTTATCCAATTGATATTAAGGTTCTAATGATATGGCACTATTTGTCTTCTCTGTACGGCCCAAGGAGTATCATCACGGTTGTCTGCTTGTCGAAGTGAAAAGTTTGATGTCGCTAAAGGCGTACATTTAACTGGCGGTTCTCTGTGGAATGTACTGTTTCTATTGTAAGACAACTTGCCAATGGCAGTTTTTCTTTTTTGCAGATGTATTTGTACTTGAAACACTGCTCTTGCAATTAAATCCATCGAAATTTTTCTATGAGAAGTTCAGTTTCGTATTCCATTTGAGAAGACAGAGTTATTTATTCTTTTATCTGGTCTTTTTATCTTTCTTTTTTCTAATTTGCATAACCTTTTGTTGAATAGTCTTTGCATTGTTTATGCTCAGATTCTCCTTAGTCTGTCACTATTTCTGCAATACATATTTCTCTACCATTTCATGTAACTTCCTTGAATTCTGGAGAGTCTAATTGAATTTCTCATTCAGGAGACACCACGGGTTTGAGGCTTCCCTCCCATGCTTAGATGCATAAAAGGAACCCAGGAGAAGGTATCTTGGTTTGTTTATTGGGAGATTAAATTTTCCGTTTAAAAATGAATGATACTTTCCATGTAACTTGGTTTATATTGGTTTGTTTACTATGTGGGAAGGAAATATATTAAGATGAGACTGAAAGGATCTTGTGAGTCATGAGAAAATTTGAGCTCATCAATTGTTTGTGTTTTAGCTAGGTGCATAGACTAGGATGAGTGGTTAGTCTTGAACCTACATTTTCATCTAGATGCAGGTTCCAGTACTACACACATGCCTAATTGCCACTATTTTGAAGAAAATTCAGTATTAGGGAAATATTTAACAAGATCTCTGTTGTCTACGTTTCTTCTTTCTTAGTAATGGCTTGAGTTAGGCATATAGATATTCAATTTATATAGCTGTACTTGAGCATCTCTTTTTGTCTGATGTCTTGTCTTATTATTTTCTTTGTTTACCTTTATGTATCCTAATGGATTAATATTGCATTTTATCCATGGCGGTTCAATGTGGAGGCATTTCTATTGGATGTTTGGCCGTGTTCTTGAAGCATTTTTTATCATGGTGAGCAATTCATTCTTTTTTGTTTTGTTGTGGTACAAGTTAAATTTGATACTGCTTTTATTTGATGAAATTTTAATGGTTTTGATTGCTCATCTTTTTAGGTAACATATCGTGCTCCTGCAATTTTTGTAAGTATGTTGAAGTCCGATTCATTTTTCATCTTTGTTCAGTATATAATTGCCTTGATGGTCCATGACATCTAGTTTTCTATGATGATAATACTTGGTTATTATTTCTGTTTTTACATGTTGATGTGTTGCAAATTTGCAACCATATCAATAGTTTTCTGCAGTGTTTTCAATGATCATGCAGGTGGTGTTTGGGGCAGGATTTTAATTTTCCCCCCTATATATATGCCTGGGGATCTGGGTTTGTTCTTTTTGTTTTGCGTAATTCTATGCTCCCAATTTTATCTACTTGTTTGGTTGTTAGTCTCTTGATTCTCGACAGTCAGCGATGACAATATCAGTTTCTTTATTTATTTTACATAAAAGAAAGAACACTTGTTTTTGAAAGTTTTGGTGCTACTGAGTTTCTTATGCTATAGTAGGGTCCTGTAAAGGGTGAGATCCATTGTCTGGCAGACTCATCTTTGCATACAAGAGGGTTTTCACAACTTACTGTTAGATATCTGAAATCATATATAAAAAAAATTCACGGGTGTCAGGAAATGAACATGGATTAGAAGAGAGAACCAATATAGAAACCAATCATCAAAGATGTGGCTTGTTTCTACCTTGGAATCTCTCTGATTTTTGTTGCATGATGTGTGAACCCATAATAGTGCGATTTCTTCTGCCATTCCCATGTTTCTTAATGATTTTCAATAATGAATTGAAACACTTGTGCAAATCATTTATAGAAGAAAGGAAAAAAAAATTCTGATTTCTATCCTCTTTGAATTGAAACATTTTCCTGTTTTGATATTTCCTTTGGTAATCGCATGTTTAAGGAGTTATAAATTTGGGATCTTAGCAATGATGACCTTGAAAGTTTTTGTTGGATTGGATTATAGAATCAGATTGAATGAAAGATAATGTTTGCATTTTCTATTTGCTTTAGGTTAGGTTTAGAAAAATCTACATCTCACTTATTAAAATTGTGCAATATAGTATAGAGTCTTGTTGCTTAGTTTTAAACCTCAAGATATTTTGAAAGCAACCAATAGATATTTTAGGTCGTCTTTTAAGAAGAGACTGAAGAAATATTTAATAATGTATGTGTGTGTATATAGTAGTTTATATGGATTCTAACATCTTTCATGTATAATCCCTTCTTTACACTGAATAAATGAAATGATACAATGTATGTCATTAAAATATCTCAAGTCTGTTATTGAATTGAGGGAGTTGTTTCGCACTTGCCAGGAAGTATAGTTGGGTGATTCTTTTTTAGGACAAGATTAATTCTTGTGCTTGTTTTGATTTCATTTTATTTACATATTAAAGGAAAAAAAAATAGAATTATGGTTTTAATTACATATTAATATTTGGTACATATATAATAGGGGTGTTCATGGCAATATAATTCGTAACGATGGGTATCCACCAAATCTGTCTTACCCATTTTGTTGTGTATATTATTTAAATTTTGATAATTTAGAATATTAAACATGGTTAATGTCTTGATATTTTAAATTTTGATAATTTAGAATATTAAACATGGTTAATGTCTTGATATTTTAAATTGTATTTATTATTTAAAATATTTTAAATATGTATAATTTTGGTATTATTTTATTTTATTATTTATAATGCAATCTGGTTTTGAAAAAAAATTAATTATTAAAAAATTGATTTTACTAATTGGATGGTCGTGAGTTGTGAAAATCCCTCGAATTTGTTTGGGACAGATTTGAGTTTTAATTCTCCGTTTTAGATGGATTTTGGGTAGGAAATGATGGTTGTTTGGAGTTTTGGGGTGGATTTGGGGTAGGAAATGCTGATTGTTTGGAGTTTTGGGGAAGTAAAAACCGTTCTGAATCTGTCTTGTTATGCCTAGTGTTAATTGGTTTGGGTAAGTTTGAAACCAAATTGAAATCCAAACTTTGGGTTGGGTATTTTTAGTTTGAACAAAAATCGACTCAATCCAATGAAATCTAATGTTATTTGGTTTGGGTAACTGATTTTTAAATTCTACCTACGAGTTGTCTATTTTAGTTAATTATAATTGATTTGTATAGTTTACATCTATTTAAGTTAATTATAATTAATTTGTATAGTTTACATCGTCAATATCATAAAAATTAGTATAAAGTATTTAAATCCAAGAAGAAAATAATGAATGCCATTTGTGCATTCACAATCTATATGAGGACCAAAAAGAAAAAGGAAAATTAAGAATTTTATGTTATTATAGAATATTGATTAAAGAATATTTAATATTTTCTTAAAATATTTTAGCACATTTGTTTGTAATGTATTTATTAGTTTGGTTAAGTTTGATTTTTATTATAAATTGTACAAATTTAGTTTAATATAATTCATATATTTTTAATCGGTTTGGATATGGGAGTCTTTCGGCCTTGAATAAAACCAACCACATCCGTAATATACACTATCATAATTATAAGATTTAATAATTTATAAATGTGAATTTTTGTCAAGTTTCTTATTTTGAGTACTTATATTGTACGTTCCATTCTTTTTGCACATTTTCTCTTTTTGTTTATTTGTTTTTTAAATTTTCTTTAATGTTATTTGGGTTAACTAAATATTTGAACATTTTTAATTTTTTTTTGACTCTAACTGGACTTTTGAAATACTTATTTGAGTTTCTATTTTGAGAGATTAACATTAAAATATTTAATGAATCAATTCTAATACAGAATATATTTTGTAAGGGCTAAAACATCCTAACATAAATTAAAAAGCAAAAAGCTTATATTAAGGAACATAAAACTAACAATATTTCGCTGCCTTGAAAACTATAGATATTTCTAGAAATTATTCTTATATGTAAGTTTAATTTAAATTAGACAGACACTAATATCCACTATAAATCCGTTTCTGATATCCACCATGAATCTGTTTCTGGTGACACTAATATTCACCATGAATCTGTTTCTGAACCTGCTATCTGTAGTATAATTTTAATTTTGATAATTTAAAATTGTTCCGTTTATTTTATTATGTAGTATTTTGATAATTTGAAATATTGAATATATTTTGATATTTTGTTTTGTATTTATTATTTAAGATATTTGATTTGTATGTATGAAATAATTTGAATTTTTTTTGTTTTATTATTTTTAATGTAATTTGATTTTGAAAAAATAAATATTTTTATTAAAAAATTGATTTTATTAAAAAAGTGTAAATATCTAAACTTAATTTGAACCTTTATGAATTTGAGTTTTATATCCTTACCTCTAATAGAGATTGGGACAGAAAACTAGAATTGTTTTGAGCTTATAAAAACTCTATTTTTGACTGTAAAAGAGCTTACAAAAAACACGTCATATCTTTGTGGCCCAGCCCACTAGACTGGCCTAGCAGGTTTCCCGACTCATTGAAAATAATTTTAATGATCATAAATTTTTGTGGTGTTCATATACATATATGGATTTATAAATATTTTAAAACTCAATTAAATTTATAATTATTCTATATTCTTTTTAGTTTTTTTTGTCCATTACATTATTTAAAAAAAAAATTAAAACCATAATATTAAAATACACGCTGACCTAGGCCATCAGGCTGCATGGCCTATTAGAATATGGCTTATCAGAATCTGAGTCAGACTCAATTTTAGTAGCCTATGAAGTAGTTAGATCCATCACTCTAGTCTATTCATACATGTCAGTTGATTGGACCAAAGTGGATTGTGTCCGAGCTAGGCGGGGGTGAGTTTAATTATACTT